AAATCCCAGCGAATCCCGGGATCCAGGCCGCATCCCAAGTCCCTGTTCCCGTTCCCGGTGAGCCGCTGCTTCCCTCTAGTGGCTGCCAGGCCGGGTTCCCCCATTCCCGGCGGGAATCTCATCTTCCCAGGATTCTGCAGGCTCTGAATCCATCTCCCGGCACAACAATTCCCATGAAAATCCTTCTTCCAGGAGCAGCTCCTTCCTGCATCTCCTTTCCTGCAGCACAGGGAAAAGGCAGGGCTGGTAAATTCAAGGAAAAGCCTGGAAATGCTCCCGGCTCTCCCAGTTTTCCCATTTCCAGGCCTTTTTCCTGAGTGCTTTTTGCATTAAAGTGAAGGGAGATATTCCCTTACAGTTGATATTTCTTATCCATGGATAAGCCTTGATGCAAATGCTCGATTCCTTTGGATTTTATTTTTAGAATTTTCAAATTCTGGGAGCAGTTCAAAATTCTTCCCAAAGAAAAATTCTACAAAGCCTCCAGGAATCAAATTCCTATTCCATTTAAAATGAAAATTCCATTCCAAAAGAAAAACGTGGTTTGTTCATTTTCCGTACTCTTAAGGAAAACTGATCCAATTTTTTAAACCTCTCTTAGCAAAGCTTTTTGTGTCCAAATGCTCCAATCCTGCTTCCGTCTGCAGGAATTCCTGGATCTGGCTCCTTTGGGATACTTTCCTGGCTATCAGTCATTCCCTTGGATTTGGGAGCTGCAGGACTCCAGGGAGAGCCTTTCCCATCCCAAATGAAATTGGGATTTTTCCCCAAGCGGTTTTTCCTGGATTGGGGGTGGAAATTCCAGAGGGAGCTGATTGGGAAAGTGGGGAGGAGCTGGTTGATTCCAAGTTCAGGCAATTTGGGAATTCGGGATATTTTTTATATAAAGATTCCATTTTTTTTTCCCGTGCCTACCATCTCCAGTGAGCCCAAAACACCCCCTTGAGCACATTCCCCTTGGGCTCCTTGCCTTGGGAGGGAACTCCCGCGCCAGCAAACCTTCCAAATTCCTTTGTTTTCCCAGAAAAAGTTGGAAAACCTGAAGAGCTTAGACCTGTTCAACTGTGAGGTGACCAACTTGAACGACTACAGAGAAAACGTGTTCAAGCTGCTGCCGCAGCTGACGTACCTGGACGGCTACGACAGGGACGACAAGGAAGCGCCGGATTCCGACGCCGAGGGATATGTGGAGGGGCTGGATGACGAGGAGGAGGATGAGGATGGTACGGGAATGGGAACCGGCACCCGGAGGGAGAGGGAGGGAGGGAATTGAGGGGAAGGAGTTGAAGGGATGAGGGGAAGGAGTGGAGGGAATGGAGGGGAAGAACCTCTCTGTCAGGAGGGAATTGGGGAAGGGAGCTGAGGGATTGAGGGGAAGGAATGAGGGAATTGATGGGAAGGAGTAAGAGAATTGAGGGGAAGGAGTGAGGGAATGAGGGAAGGGATGAAGGAATTGAGGGGAGGAATGAGGGAAAGGACATCTCTGTCATGAGGGAATTGAGGGGAAGGAATGAGGGAATTGATGGGAAGGAGTTGAAGGAATTGCGGGGAAGGAATGAGGGAATTGAGGGGAAGGAGTTGAAGGGCGCTGAGGGAAGGGATGAAGGGAAGGAGTGGAGGGAATGGAGGGGAAGAACCTCTCTGTCAGGAGGGAATCAGGGAAGGGACGTGAGGGAATTGAGGGGAAGGAATGAGGAAATGAGGGAATTGATGGGAAGGAGTTGAAGGAATTGAGGGGAGGAATGAGGGGAAGGACCCCTCTGTCATGAGGGAATCAGGGAAGGGACCTGAGGGAATTGAGGGCAAAGAATGAGGAAATGAGGGAATTGATGGGAAGGAGTTGAAGGAATGAGGGGAAGGAGTTGAGGGAATTGAGGGGAGGAATGAGGGAAAGGATGTCTCTGTCAGGAGGAAATCAGGGAAGGGATGTGAGGGAATTGAGGGGAAGGAATGAGCGGATTGAGGGGAAGGAGTGAGGGAATGAGGGAAGGGATGGAGGAATGAGGGAAAGGACCTTTCTCATGCGGGAATCAGGGAAGGGATGTGAGGGAATTGAGGGGAAGGAATGAGGGGAGGAATAAGGGAAGGGATGAGGGAAAGTATCTCTGTGTCCTGAGGGAACCAGGGAAAGGACCTGAGGGAGTGAGGGGAAGGATCTTGGTGTCCCAAAGGAATGAGGGGAAGGAGTTGATGAGGGAAAGGACTTCAGTGTCCTGAGGGAATAGGGGGAAGGAGTGAGGGAAATGATGAAATTGATGGAATGGAGGGAAATAAATTGAGGGAATGAGGGAAAGGACCTCATTGTCCTGAAGGAATGGTGGGAGAGGGAGCTGTGTGTCCTGAGGGAATGGGGGGAAGGATCTCCGTGTCCTGAGGGAATGAGGGAAGGACCCTTGGTGTCCCAAAAAAATGGTGGGAGAAGGGGGGAAGAACCTCAGTGTCCCAGAAAATGAGGGAAAGACCCGAGTGTCCTGAGGGAATGAGGGGAAGAAATCAGGGAAAGGAACTGCATGTCCCAAAGGAGTGAGGGGAAGGACCTGAGGGAATGAAGGAAGAAGTGAGGGAATTGAGGGGAGAAATGCGGGAATGAAGGAAAGAGTAAGGGAATGAGGGGAGGGAATGAGGGAAAGGACCTCAGTGTCCCAAAGGAATGAGGGAATGAGGGAAAGGACCTGAAGGAACGAGGGGAAGGAGCCGGGTGTCCTGAGGGAATGGTGGGAAGGAGCCAGGCAGGGCCTGAAGGAGCAACTTCCTCAGTTTTATCCCTAGTGAAAGACCGGGACGACAAGGAAGCGCCGGATTCCGACGCCGAGGGATACGTGGAGGGGCTGGATGACGAGGAGGAGGATGAGGATGGTAGGTGGGATGTGCTCCGTGGGATTCCTGCATCCCAAAGGAATGAGGGGAGGAGGAGGTGGCAGGGCCTGGGAAAATCCCATTCCTCCGTCTGGGAATGGAGGGGTGGGATTGGGACGGACTGGAGGAATTACGGGAACAGGGATGAGCAATGGATACGAAGGAATGTCCTGGAATTGTGGAAATCCTCATGGAAAAGGGATTTTTTTGCATGGGCATGGAAAAAAAGCAGGAATCTGGGAGCTGCTCCATGAGGGAAGTGCATGGAAAACACCGGGGAGCTCCAGGGGATCTGTGCCAAGAACTGAGGAAGGAACAGCCTGGAATTCCAGGGAATTCCAAGGAATCCCAGTGCTGTAGGCACCACCTTTCCCTGGCTGCCCCTAGAGCCCGTCCCAGGATGAGGATCCGGTTGATCCCGGGGAATTTTCTGGATTCTCCCATCCCAGCAGCTCAGCAGAAAAGCTGGATGCGCACTTTTCCCGGGAATGCCGAGTGGGAGTTCTGGGAAGGTTCCCAAAAGCTCCCAAACACACGGAAAACATTCCAGGGGCTTGGCACTTCCTGGTTTTCTGCTGGGAATTTTGGGAATCACCTAAAAGGCTGGAATTTTGTGTCCATGGGAAGGCTCCCAATGGATGGATGATGGGAAAGCTCTCCTCCATCCATTCCTGGAAAAGCTGGGATTCCCCAGCTCCCAAATCCTTGGGAATAGTGGGAAGTGGAGCAGCTGGAGCGACTCCAACCCTGCATTCCTCGACAATCCTGTGCTATCCCTAAGGAATTCTCTGCTCAGATTCCCAGATTTTGGGTGGAATTATTCCAAAAGCCTCAACTTTTTCCATGGATTTTGTTTTTCCAGAGGAGGAATACGACGACGATGCTCAGGTAGTGGAGGATGAGGAGGACGAGGAGGAAGAGGAGGAAGGGGAGGAGGAGGATGTGAGCGGAGAGGAGGAGGTGAGCCTTGGAATTCCGCCTTGGAATTCCGCCTCGGGAATCGGCGGGAACCAGCTGGGAAGGAAATCTGGGATTTGAGGAATTTTAGGATTCACTTTTTGCTGGGGCGGATGAAGGATGGGATTGAGGGGGGGAAAAATGGGGTTGGAGGAAGGAAAATGGGATTTTAGGAGGGAAAATGGAATCGAGGGAGGAAAAAAAAAGGGAAAAGGGGAAAGCGGGATGGGAGGAAGGGAAATGGGATTGGAGGTGAGAAAGTGGAATGGGAAAGGGGAAAACAGAATTCCAGGGATTTGTTTTCCCTCTCCTCCAGCCCTCTGGAATGTTCCTGAGCCTCCTCAGTTCTGCTCCGAGGCTCTGGATCATTCCAGCTTTTCCCACTCCCATAAATCCCAATGCAGTTTTCCTGAACTCGGGAATGGCACATTCCCACATTCCCAGCTGCAGCTCAGGGATTGATTCCCTGGGCTTTCGGTGCCAGCTCCTGCTATTCCATAAAAAACTGGAATACTGGGAAGTGGCTGAGGACATTGCCAAGGACATTCCCTCCTTGGAAGACGGGATATTGGGAAAGCTCCTGGGCTTGATCCCAAGCTTTACATCCCGTTTTTTCCTGGAATTCCAGGAGGATGAGGAAGGCTACAACGACGGCGAGGTGGATGACGAGGAGGACGAGGAGGAGCCTGGTACGGAACCAATCCCACTTTTCCTAAGGAAAAACCACCCCAGTTCCATGGAAAATGGAATTCCCGGAAAAGCAGGAATGTGGCTCCTGGAATAATGGGAATTCTTTCTTTTTTCCAGAGGAAGAGCGGGGTCAGAAGAGGAAACGAGAGCCTGAGGATGAGGGGGATGAGGACGACTGAGCAGCTTTTCCCTGGAAAAAATTCCCTCTTGTGATTTGACTGTTTTTATCCCGGAATTCCCCCTTTTCCCACTCCCGACCCTTTGGATTTCCTTTTCTTTTCCTGTTTTTTTTTTTTTGGTTTTTTTTTTTTTTTTTTTTTTTTTTTTTTTTTTTTTTTTTTTTTTTTTTTTTTTCCGGATTGTAACGTTGCTGTGGGAACCGAGCGGGAGCAGCGAGGGTGGGAAGGGAATAAAATCCTATTTTTACTGCCGCTCCTCCTCCGATTCTTTGGGAATTTTTTCCTTGGATCCTTTTCCTTGAATCCCTGGAACTGCGAGAGTCGAGTAGGAACCGAGTTGGGAATTCTCGGAGCGGAGCTTGGACATCTCGGAAGCAAACCAAGGAGAAAACCGAGCTGAAATCATGGATGAGCCGGGATTTTCCCACCTCTGCCATTCCCAAATCCACGTTTTTTCAGGAATGGCAGCCAGGCCTTCTCCCTGGGGTGGCAATGGTGCCTTGCTCCATGGGTTTTGGTTTTTTTTTTTTTTTTGGGAATGCTGCCATTTTCAGCCCTTTTTCCCGACTTTGGGAATTCCCTCTTTGTACATAGCGACCAAACATTGGTTTTTTTTTTTTTTGGGAATGTTGGATTTTTCGGGATGGGTTCGGAGCTGGTGACTTTGCGATCCCTGTGTGTTGTGTGTTCCCAGTTTTCCTTTAATTTGGGGGGGAATTTTAGGGTTTTTAGTAAGTTTTTTTTATTTTGGGGGTTTTTAAGGGGAATTTTAGGGGATTTTCATGGCTCCAGTGCAGCCAAATCCCTGGAAATGGCAGGCATGAAAAAAAATGGGGATTTCTACAAAAAAATATCCCAAATTCCCAAATTTCCTGATCTTGGAATAAACCACCTCCTCCCTGCTTTCCCGATCAGCTCCCTCTGGAATTTCTGTCCCTAATCCAGGAAAAACCACATGGAAAATCCCAATTTTTTCACCCGGAAAGCCAGGAATTCCAGGAGCAATGCCTGAAATTCCATGGAAATTCCTGAAAATTGTATTTTCTTACTTTGTGGGAGGCAAAAAAACAAGGAAAATCCTTGGGGAATGTACAGATCCTGCGGGGGATAAATCCCTTTGGAAGTGACTTGGATTTCCTAGGAAAGCTTCCATGTGTAGAAATCCAGCGGCTCCAGGTTTTTTTGGGAATTTGGGGGCCCGGCAGAGCCACCTTTGGAGTTTTTGTCTGTTTGGCTTTGAGGAATTTCAATAAAGCTTTTGATACAAATCCCGCCTCTGGAATTCTTTCTGGGAAAACAAGGAATGGCTGCCCTGAAAAAGCGGGAATTCACAGATCTTTTTTAGCACCCTAAAAAAAAAAAGGAATTGCAACTCTGGAAAAGTGGGAATTCCCGGAGCTATTTAGCACCTTTGGCTCCCTAAAAAAAAAACCAGGGAATTGCAGCTCTGGAAAAGTGGGAACTCAAGAATTTTTTTAGCACCTTTAGCTCCCTAAAAAGAATGAATGGCAGCCCTGGAAAAGCGGGAATTCCTGGTGTTTTTAGCACCTTTGGCTCCCTAAAATCCTTTGGATGGAGGCCCTGGAATGGTTTCCCTTGGGAACGGGGGTTCTGGGGGATTATCCCAGGAAAACCGGAGCTTTTCTCCTGGGAAATCCTCTCCTGGCTTTGCCAGGCTGGGAACAAGGAGCTCCTGGATCCCGGGGAAGAGCCAGCGCTCCGTGTTTTCCTCCCTCTGGAATGAGCTGGATCCTGGGAATGTTGGGATGAGCTGGGAATGCCGGAATGAGGATCCATCTTCGCCCTCCCTGCTCCGGAGGAGCGCATCCAAGAGCTTTTCCTTGGGATCCCCCCGGATGGAGAAGGAGAGGCAGGAACGCGGTTCTGGTATCCTGGAAAGGTTTTATTCCATCACTATCCCGTGGGAGCATAAATAATCGGGAATGACAGCACACGGAAGGCAGCGGGAACGCGGGACGCGCACGGGACGGCAGCTGGGATTGAGTGGGAATTGGGATCTCCGGGAAAAACCAGCAGGGTTTGGTTCCCCGTGCTCTGGGAAAATCCTGCCAATCCTGGGATTGTCCCACGTGCTGAGCCCGGCACGCTCCAGGAGCATCCCTCGGGATCCAGCCTCGGGATCCAGCCTCGGGATCCATCCCGGGGGCAGCAGCCCCAGAAATATCCCAGGATCCCATCACGAGAAGGATCCCAGTTCCCCACCATGGAATGATCCCAGATTCCCACCATGGAATGATCCCAGTTTCCTTCCACAGGAATGATCCCAGATTCCCACCATGGAAGGATCCCAGATCCCCACCATGGAATGATCCCAGATTCCCACCAAGGAAGGATCCCAGATTCCCACCATGGAATGATCCCAGTTCCCCACCATGGAATGATCCCAGTTTCCTTCCACAGGAATGATCCCAGATTCCCACCAAGGAAGGATCCCAGATTCTCACCATAGAAGGATCCCAATTTCCCACCATGGAATGATCCTAGATTCCCACCAAGGAAGGATCCCAGATCCCCACCATGGAATGATCCCAGTTCCCCACCATGGAATAATCCTAGATTCCCTCCACAGGAATGATCCCAGATTCCCGCCATGGAATGATCCCAGTTCCCCACCACAGGAAGAATCCCAGATTCTCACCATGGAAGGATCCCAATTTCCCACCATGGAATGATCCTAGATTCCCACCATGGAATGATCCCAGATTCCCACCACGGAAGGATCCCAGATTCCCGCCATGGAATGATCCCAGTTCCCCACCATGGAATGATCCCAGATTCCCACCATGGAATAATCCCAGATTCCCACCATGGAATAATCCTAGATTCCCTCCACAGGAATGATCCCAGATTCCCGCCATGGAATGATATCAGATTCCCACCATGGGAAGGATCCCAGTTCCCCACCACAGTAAGAATCCCAGATTCCCACCATGGAATGATCCCAGTTTCCCTCCACAGGAATGATCCCAGATTCCCGCCATGGAATGATCCCAGATTCCCACCATGGAATGATCCCAGTTTCCCTCCACAGGAATGATCCCAGATTCCCGCCATGGAATGATATCAGATTCCCACCATGGAATGATCCCAGATTCCCACCATGGAAGGATCCCAGATTCCCACCATGGAATGATCCCAGTTTCCCACCATGGAATGATCCCAGGCTCCACCACGGGAATGATCCCAGTTCCCCACCATGGAAGGATCCCAGATTCCCACCACGGAAGGATCCCAGATCCCCACCATGGAAGGATCCCAGATTCCCACCATGGAAGGATCCCAGATCCCCACCATGGAATGATCCCAGTTTCCTTCCACAGGAATGATCCCAGATTCCCGCCATGGAATGATATCAGATTCCCACCATGGGAAGGATCCCAGTTCCCCACCACAGGAAGAATCCCAGATTCCCACCAAGGAAGGATCCCAGATTCCCACCATGGGAGGGATCCCAAATTCCCACCATGGAATGATCCCAGATTCCCACCATGGAAGGATCCCAGATTCCCACCATAGGAGGGATCCCAGTTTCCCTCCACAGGAATGATCCCAGGTCCCCACCACAGGAATGATCCCAGATTCCCAGCATGGAATAATCCCAGATTCCCACCATGGAATAATCCCAGATTCCCACCATGGGAAAGGATCCTGGAACAGATCCCAGGTTACATCTACAGGAAAAATCCCAGGTTCCCACCATGGGAAGGATCCCATCCTGTTCCCATGGGATGG